GTGCGACATTTCACACATGGCGGAACGGATTCCGCGGCCTTCCGGCCATGTCCCGATTCCGCTGGGTGTTGGGAGGTGGGGGCCGCGGCCGCAGACCGGCAGCTCAGACCAGGACGGTGTCACCGGTGACGCACACGATCCCATGGAACCGGAGACTAACGTCCCAGTGGTTTTGGGGGTTCCATGTGGTTTTTCAGGGGAGTCACTGGTGAGCGAATAGGTGAGTTGATTTCTCACATCCGATCGGTCAATCTCCTCGGTCAAACGGGCGACCGCATCGGCAAGGCACTGAAGTTCAACTCACCTTCCACGCAGCTCCAGGTGGCTGCGAGCATCAGAATCAAAATGGAGACCTTGCGCAACAATGACATTTGTGGACTGTTGCAACGAAAACCGCCGGTGCTTTCTGAGGTCAAGTCCTGCAGGAGCCTTCCTGGTGATATCTGTGATTTTACCTAGTGGGTGTTCGTACCTGCATTAACATGAAGAGTCACCAACTTGATGGGGTGTGGGTGACAAACACGGATTTAGATCGGTGCCATCTCCCCTAGAAAAGCTGCTCAGCTGCTGCGAGAACATGACCAGGGAGATCAGGAATGATAGTATTTATACATACGTGACCATGTGTAACCATTTAAAATGCGTTTACAGTATATGTTGTTGTTGTTGTTGTTGTTTGCTTTTTTTTTTCTCTCTCTCTCTCTCTCTGTCTCTCTCCCCTTGCCTATGTTCCAGCCCACATTTGCGAAAGGATCGTGAACAGTCCCAGTTCTTCCACTCTCTCGAGTGTTTTTTTCCACATTCCAATGCCTGCAACGACAATTTTCGTTTCTTGCAAGACATAAACCGCTATGGCTACGCCGTCGCGTCTCACCCAGTACTAGGGCCTGGGTGTGGGAGTAAGTTTCCAGCCCAACCACCAAAGCCATCATGTAGATGGTGATGATGTTGCCTTGTGCATTCGGCGAAACCCTTCAACTGAAACCTATTTTATCCTTCACGGAAGGCATGGTGTTAGAACGTATCATTCTGGTGTATGTTGGCATAATCACATATGTTAAATGCTTAAAGGATTTCAAACGCATGTTAATGGTAAATGTTATTAACTGTCTATATCTATCCACCAAAACCAACATACAGTATCCTTCTCTGGCCGGTGTTGTGCGGGTCCCCTAGTGACGACTGGCTCGGTCCAGAAATGCAACTTGATAGCGAGATAGTCTAAAGTCCCACAGCGTATCATCTCTTGTTGGTGGATACATTGTGATCATATTTGTGGTTTGATGTGGTTTGACATGTAAAACAGTTTCAAGCCAAAAGCCCAAACAGATTCGATGCCCAAACGCTTGATTGACACGCCCCCCCCAAAGAAACAACAAAAAACACATGATGGTGTGCGCTGAAGCAATATGAAGGAAACACTTTGAAGGCTCCAGGAAACAAATCCCAGGCACCTTCCTTGATCATCTGAAGGAAAGCCACTGAGCAATACCTCGACTGACAAACCAGCTAAAACGGAATTTGAAAAAAAACAATTCATCGACACGAGCTTTGAAAAGCAAGACGGTTCTCCAAGCCGCCGGTGTTGTTCTCCAAGCGGCTTGTAGGCCATGTTGCTCAAGACCAAGCTAATTGCGAAGCACAAAGCCTTGAGACCCAGTTTTCGATGCTTTTCGTGCGGAAGTTCTTCGAACGCCGAAGCGGTGAGAACGCAAGTGCGCGGTTGTTTGATGAAATGTAAGTGTTTGAGGTATTTTTCCCACGGACCTGACCCAGACTTGGAGATTCCAAAGTTCGTCTAAGCGCCCAAGCAAGCTAGTTTGCCACTCTGGAGCACCGGTTGCAGTTTGGAGGGATTTTAGAGGAGCAACTCTTCCCCAAGGCCAGCTCTGCCTGGAGGGCAACCGTCCTCCAAACCGGGCTATGAGTGTAAACTCCGCTCAACGAGTGTAGACTCCGCTCCGTTCCTCGTTCCAAAAGATCTGCTTTTTGGGCGGGGTCAGCGGCCAGGACCGAGCGGCAATGGGCAAGATTTTGTTGGAGTAGTAGTGCCAGGACAGCTCCACCTTCTTGTCAGGATCCGTCAAAGCCTTGGGGATCTAGGCACAAACGGCCAAACGGCCACGGCGAAACAATGTTATGGAAGTGTTGAATCATTGGAATAAGATCCTACCGCTTATCACCTTATCTGCTGTACCATTTCAATCAATTCACGTGTCCAAACAACATCATTGTCCGTCTTTGTCCATCACTCCCCCTCTTCTAGTTCGTTGGCTCCACCTGGACAAGGCACGGGGTACAAGCTGGGCTTGATGAAGAGCAGGGCTAAGGCGAAAAGGGAGCAGAAAATGCAATGCAAGATCACCAAGATAAATGGATATGGGAAATTCTCCTGTCAACCGTGCCAAGTCCCCGTGGCAAGCTGAGGCTTGAGTTCTTGGGGGACGACCCGAGAACCATCATCCTTTGAACAGAACGTAGAACAAACATTGATCCAACATGATCAAAAACTTGTCCAAATTCGTTGGTGGCAAACACAAGGTTAAACCAATTCATAACTCGTCCCTGAAGTGAATCCATCCCTCACGTCCAGAAGTGTCACACCTTCTGTCCACAAACGCTTGCTGGGACCCGAGCCAGTCGCAAACACATCCCCTGCTGACCAACAAAAATACACCTCGCGCCCATCAAGGTCCCCGTCTCCTTCTGCATGAGGTATTGATTGGATCGAATCAAAGCCTCGAAACCGTCCGAGTCGCAGTTTCAACCCGTTTCGCCCCCACCGTCCGGGTCGCATCGCCCTCGGGCGATGCACGGCCCTACCTTCGAGCTGATGGATCGCACTGTGTGTCACCAATGACTGAGATGATTTCTGCCATGGGTGTGAAGTGGTCCAAAGACTTAGAATGGGAGTTGATCCATGGCCATCACCAACTACATGAGATACGTATCATCCTTACCTGGCGAGCACGATGTGGCCCCATGGTTGGCCGAAATCTCCAACTCTAAAAAAAGGCACAGCCAGGTGAAGAAAAGCCCTGGCTTGACTGCGCCAACCTCTGTGGGTCACACTGCTGGGGCAGCGGGAGTGGGGATCGGGGAGGCTGCTGGCCGCAGCGGAAAGGAAGCTCCACCGAACTCCAGCCGCTCCTTTGAGCGGATGGATTCAATTGGGTTCCATGGCGCCAAGGTTTTTTTAGATCTTGAGCAGAACAAGAATAAACTCATTATTTCATTCCATGCTAGTTTGGAAGGTCTCCTTCTTTTGAGCCCAATCGAGTGGATGCATACTCTCAAATCAAGGCTTGGGCTGTTCACGGCTGGGTGATTTTTTGTTTAAAACAAATTGTTGGTAACTTGGTGATTTTGGTCATGAAAACACAACAACTGGCACAATCAAAGAACAAGCCTTATTCATCCGCCTACGTTTACGAAAGGAACCATAAAACAAACGACCCAAACCCCAAACCCGTTTGGAAGTTGCTTTTGTTCTTCTAATGCGCAACCCAACAACCATCAAACGCTTAAGCGTCTAGTTTCACACAGGGGGTGCCTGCCTTTGGTCTCACATATTTTGCACATATCACCAACAACGCTCCGCAAAGTCAGGGACGACCATGGACGATCCGCCAAGTCGCTGTGGACACGACAATCACCATCAAAGGCAAAAAACAACATAAAATCATCTCCTCAGCCACGAAAGTCGCTTGTGCACCGGCACCGTGCTTTTCTAGACAAACATTTAGGCAACAAAACTGCAAAACAGTGCCACATGTTGTTAACCCGTGTTAACCCGATCCATGTCAAAAAATATCCAACAAGGCTCTATATGTATACCTAGAACCTGATTGACCCCTGTTTTGGAACCAAAACATGGTCTTTTCCTATCAAAACAAAGGTCACATGGGTTCTAGGTATATATATATAATATATATAGCCTCTATGTATGCTTCTATCATCTTGGTCGGTCTTTCTGCTTCAGGCAACTTTTGGAGCTGGATGTTGATTTCAAGGTAAGTCCCTCCGAGAGTTCTTTTGATGATATTCCCCTTCGTACTATACTCTTTAAAGACTTGACTTAAGGTTCAATCACTCAGCTCAGCTCAGCTTCGCCAACGCTCGCTCGTGCTCGTGGTGCCAGTTGCGCGCCCTCCGGCGGCTCTGCGTGATAGCCCGCCATGGAAATAGAGAATAGAACGTACGTAAGTCTAATCAAATCATCATTGGGCCCCTTTTGAGCCACTGGTCATGGACGTCTTTTCGCGCCGCGCAAATGTTCAAACATGTTCAAACCATGATTGGGGCAGGGGCTTGGGGGGACTGGTTGCCATCGAACTTCCAAAATGGTCGCCTTTCGGTGGCCAGAGAAATCGTCCTCAGCAGCTTTCAGCTTCCTGTCCAGTCGATGCCGTTCAGCTCTTCGGCGTCAGCTCTTCGGCTTCTTCACCGAGAGAGAAAAAGAAAACAAGAACCATGGGCACTTGACGTCACTGGTGTACCTCTTTGAGGCTGCGGACGTCACATGGTATGAGCCACGGAGACATGATACTCTGCAGCTGTGCAGTTGCCACTCACTCAGGAAACAGTAAGCTGGTAAGCCAATCGGAACCGTAAAACTAAACTTGAAGTTCTCAACCAAACAAAACGGTCCCTACAAGTCCAAAGACCCATTAAAACCTGGTCTTTTACCTCCTTAAGTATTGGTTTTGTATGACAATCTCCAGTAAAATGAGGTCTTTGACTTGTAGGGGGTGTTTCTTCAAGTTTTATTCTGCTTAGTTATTCTACCATTCCACTTCCTGGACAGCCCCATTGAGTCCCTCTTGCACATGGACCAATCTTTCATCCAAGTACCCGTCCAATCCACCGACTTTCCCCATCAAATTGCCCAAGTTCGATTCTTCAGGAAGTGCCTCTGGACCTCCCCAGCAGCTCCACTTCCAATCCGTTCCGTCCAGCCCCCACCTTCACCGACGGTCCTTCCGCCGACTCCTCGGCGCCTCCAGATCGAACTCCGCACCGATGGAATGCACCTTGCGACCCCGGCAGAACTTCAGCACGTCGGCCGCACCGCCTCAGGGAGATCGAACGGTCGAAAGATCGAAAGGAGAGGAGGCCTCCCGGATGACATATGTTTTCTTGCTGAAATGTAGATGCCATGTTTATGTCATTGACCTCTGAAAGCACCCAAAGTATATTGAGTGGGTCGGAAACATACCGCCCGTAGTAGTGTTTGGGCATTTGCATTACCATCAGAACAAAGGCAACGGCTGAGGGAGAGAGCGAACACGAACGATGTGATTTCGCAAGCGATGTCGCAAGAGGTGCTGGAGGTGGGATCTGGTGCAATTGAAACTTCTAAAGCTGCTACTTCAATTGGATGATAGCCCTAAAAGTGGTTCTTGGAATCCTCTACTAAGTGATGAACCATTTTCAGGATCTTGGCGAAAAAAAAAGGGACACAGGTTCGCGGCCTAGGATTTGATGCCCAGTTCGCGGACACCAGTTCTTGCATACATCTTGGTCCATGTTCCTTTAGGGTTCCTGGTCCTGGCCCACATCCCCAGGTTCAGTGGGCCAGGGGTGGGTGCGAGGGGAGTCTAACCGGAGTGCTAGGGGGAACGAACCTGACTCCGACCGCCCCCCGACTCTGCCCAAATTCATTAACCGTTAACCGAACATGACTGCATCACCCAAACACTCCATGTATGCCATATACCTACAATTGGGGTGGTTTGGGGGGTCAATGTAGGCAGTCCATGGCAGTCCCATGGAGTATCTGGCTCATAATTCATAACTCATGACAACACCTTCGTGGCTGCAGCGCGTCCAGCGCCATGGCGCTTCCTTCGCCGTGGCGACAGGGTTTCGCCGGGGCAGCCACGCTCCAAACGGAGCTCGTGCTGTGACGAGTCAGCATCAAACAGCATACCCCAAACACGACCTGTCTGGGACTACCATAGGACTGCCGAGAAACGGCCAGGGGTGGTTGATTGGTGGTGTTTCTGGGGCGGCAGTCCTATGGCAGTCCCAAACAGGTTGTGCCTGGGCAGACCCGATATGGCCCATTTGGTGCTGCCCAAGGCGCTAGATTGTTGATGAAGAAAGTACAGGCGAGTGACCTCAAGTGGTAGCATCTGATGCAACAATATGAATTTCTGCTGCTTGCCGCACTGAACATGACAATGTACTTGTTCTCTAATAAGTTATCTGCAAGTTCACTCCCGATCTTTTGCAGCTCAATCTTGTCATGATCTACTGCTACTACTCAAGAAACATTCTGAAAGATATTGAACGTCGTGCGCATTCTGCCCTCCAGCCAAGCCCCCACTCGCACCCTCTCATACCTACGGAATCTGCAGCCAAATGGTCCTCGACCCTTCGAACTCTCCCAGCGACTCTGCCTACCCTTCCCACCCTTCACCCTCTGGCTGCCGGCTCGATGACCTGCCTCCCCAGCCCCTGCCTCCAGTGGTTCAGCCGGCGCCCACAGGGCCAACGCACCGAAGGGCACCTTCTGCCGCGGCTCGATCAAGCGGCGTGGAATGGAAGGTCCGTACCTGGAGACGCGCGAGCCGAGCAGAGGCCATCTGAGCCCTCAACGTGGGGCGTCACGAGGTCCTTGGGATCGAAACATGGCTGTTCTGAGGTCGGGTCTGACGACCCGCCCTCAGTTCACAAGGAGTTCACAAGTTCTATAGCTCATGCTATAGTCCATGGACACAGCGTGTAAGAAATAACACGATGGAGTGATCGGCACAAGAACCACCACGACGCTCGGAGTGGTCTCGACGAGACCCGTCTCGTCGCCCAGATCATCTGGTCTGCCCGGATTCTTTACACATCCCCTAGACTTCCAAGACCATTAAAAGAATGGTTGACCTGGTTTGTGCAATGTAAAATCCTTAGTTGATTCGGCAAAGCCCATTAAATTAATGGTTGTTGGAAGCGGCATCGATGCTCTTCCCAAAACCCGAAGCATCCCCGAGCTCGAGCTTGACCTTCTGCCAGGGCCTGGTCCACAAGGCAACATCAATCGACCCAGAATTGGTCTAGACTCAAGTTGAGACGTGAGAAATTAGACTCTATATAATTCGTCAGGAAATTAGACTCTAAGACCAACTTCTAGACTCAGCTTTCGAGGAGAACCTTTGTCATTGCATGTCTCATTTCTCCAATTCTCGTGGCTCTCGACTTCCCAACCTACCGGTCGGTCCCTGTCCACTGGAACCGTCCGCGGTGCGGCGTCCGCGGTAGCGGTCGTGGGAGCACCAGCGTGACATGAGCTTCACCTCGTCGGAGAGGTGTCGCCCAAAGGCCCAGAAGTAGCCTCATAAAGCTCACCGGGAAGGCGGTCGACTTGAAGCCTTCGACCGGGATGGTAAGAGATAACCTACACTTCCAACAACCATTAATTAAATAGGCTTTGGCTTTACCGAATCAAATAAGGATTTTACATTACAAAAACAGGTCAACAGTTGTTTAATAGTCTTGGAAGTCTAGGGTATATTGGCAAAATTTACAAAACATTACAAAACTATGTCGGGGGGTGTTGGGAGAGGGTTGTTCGACCAGATCACCCTATATATAACATACCCATTGGATGTGCTTAATCCTTATTCATTCCTTCCCTCATAAAATATGCATGTTTTCCCTTTTTACTGGTGCTGAGGCTTGAGTGTCTCCGTGTCTCCGACGGGCGTTTTTTCAACTGGTGTCAGACCGCAACGAGTTCCGAGGCGATAGTTGAGAGGGCAGGATGGAACTGGAGAGAGTGCATGAGACCACCCAAGAACGCCCCTACCCCAAAAAACGGGATACATTTCAGATCTCATGAACATTATATGATATGCTTCTTGGTCGTTCTTGCTCGAGAGGGGTTGGGAAAGAAGCAGTCAAACTTACAAGTATTCTTGCAGCTGGAGGTGGTCAACAAAAACACTTGCAAAATTGGCCAAAACCAAGCGGATCTTGAGCTTTTGCCGTTTCTTGGATTGAACCATAGGGGAAATATAAAATCACCTCAATAAGCAAAACCAGGGTTTGCCATCTCTCCTAATCCATCCAAAAGGTCGGGACTCGATGCCTTCATGGAGGGCTTTCGTAAGAAGCTGGGATGGGAAAAGCATGGAAAAGCCGTGGAAGGAACAGTTCATTCCTCAGCAAACCCAAGCCCCACAAGACATCACAAGACCTGATCATAAAGGAATTTGATGACACAACAACTTGTTTTTCTGTGCCTGCACTCGATTCTCCACCAATGGAGGTCTACAAGGGATCCCGTATGTGCACACATGCAGCAGAAGTGGGATTCAGAAACTCAAGGATCAATGTATCCCACATTTAGATTGGATACATTAAACCAGTCCCCAAACAAGCAACAGCCATGTCTTCAAGCAGCATGTCTCTTCCAAGCAAGACGATCACCGGACTCGGAACCCCAACCAAAAACGACTGGCTCTCTGGTCACCCGGTGGAACAGGGCCGAAGGCGCAAAGCCAAATGTCCACGATGGCCTCTTGATCTCCCGTGACACGAAAGACCAACGACCTGGAAGACTGCACCTGCGCAGGTGTGGTAGGCGTGGATAGATAGGTGAGATGTGGTAGATAGGTGAGATCGGATGAAATGCCATCTTGGGGCGGAGGTTCATGATTGGAGCCATTTTGTATGAAGTAATTTTGTACGTAGTACGTAACTATGATCTGAAAACAAAGCCCTTTCAAGTATTGGAAGGTAAACCCTCTCAAGACTGGCTCAGTCTTCCGCAGTGGTGTAGCTTTTCCGCTAACTAACATGGACCCCGAGAATCCTGGAAGACCACTTTCTGGGCTTCCATGTGCATCTGCAGGGGAGTCCTTTACTTTGGCTGAAGTGGCCCCCCAAAACCTGCGCTGCACCTCCAGGCGGTGTCGTTGCGACTCCAGCAATGCCAACGCGCGCCTGCGTTCAAGCTGGCAGACCCTTTTGGGCCTCTGAACTGCACCGGATGGGAGTTGCTTAGAGCTTAATTGTGAAGAGATGTAACTGAAAACTTAAAATATAATCCTTTGTCCTTTGACCTGCGCCAGCTTGGCACCAGTCACCTGCAAAAACTATGGCAATCCCAGCTTTGGGAAGTGGAATGGCGTAGGACCAACCAAAAACGCACAGCAAGGGGTGCGATTTTCGCACGATCACTTGAGGTAAAAGAGACGGTCTTTCTTCGTTCCTGCGGATCGGTCGAGGAGGCAAACGCTTTGGCCCAAGCTCCATACATGCGCATTCCGTTCCCCAAAACATGGAAAGAATGTAACAGGGTATAACTGGGCTTGGGTATGTCGGTATACAGTATATCCCATTACCAAGCACCATGAGTGGATGATGGTTGAGCTGCAAACCTTCCCCAAAAATAGTGATAAACCTTGACCGACAGTTACTGGCTTACTGGGACAAACCCTAGCAACAAATGTATGATGTATGAATTTCATCCACATGTCCTGACACCAGGGCATTGAATCTGGCCTTGGGACTTCCTAATCTTCCTACATTACCCAGCTGCTCGAAAGATGCCATTTCTTCCCCCAAACAAAGCACACATTTGGATCTTGAAGGCTCCAATTCAGCTCTTCCTGGCAGTACAAATGCAAATAGCCAAAGCTCGTGTTGTTCTTTTCTTTTGATCAATAGCCAAAGATGGGTGTATGAACAAATTACATCCCCAGGGATCCAAGTACCCTCTGAGAAGGTGTTTGGGGTGAATTTCGAGGGTCCAAGTACCTTTTGAGGAGGTACTTGGATATCTAGGGCATGAACCATCCACATGCACCGAAGGCCGCACGTCTTCCTGACCGTGTATTTCCCGCCTGCCCGGAAGGCTCAGCGGCGTGGCGACCGGCAGCTGCAGCCGTTGGGCTTCCGCGTGCACCGCCAAGGTGAGCAGTTGCACCTCGTTGGCCGCGTCCACCTCATCCGGACGCCATGGCCTTCCTTTTTTCCGGCGGAGTCAGGGGGTTGGATTCAATCTAGGGTGGTTTGCTAGACAAGTAATCATACAAGTTCAATATGTCTATATATTACATGCTTGGAGTCATTTTGAGGATTCCTCTAGAACACATGGAGAAAGTCACGGATCTGCATGTAGCTGCACGCATCGCAAATGGGTCTCTCTATGTCTCTGTTGCACTTCAATCCCTTTGAATTGTTTTTGAGTTGAACAACAAAAAGTCAATCTACACTCACAAAAACAAAACACAAAAACAATATATACTTCCGAGGACTGGTTGGACAATGTTGGACACATATGCAGCTTACAGCCTGTGCTGATTAAATCTGTACAAAGGGGGGCATCCACAACCGATATATGATATGCTGCCTCTCTTGTAAGCCAACCACTTGAAAAACAAACACATGAAAGCAACTCAGGGCCCCCCCTCACACCTCAAAAAAATCGGGATCCAAAAACCACTGCTGGTCGTTGTGGACGTCTAACGAGTGCATGACGAGACCCGCATCCAGGCCACGCAAAGGTCCACGTCGTCATCCCAAGGAATCCGACCCAAATGGCGAACAGCACCCAGAAGAGTGCCAGCGATCAAGATGTAGGCCTCCATGGGATGTAGCCTCTGGGTGGGTTCTTGTACCACGACTTGTGCCCGGTTTAATGTTTGTTTGATGTTTGAAGCGCTTTTCGCACCTGACCTCCAAGCCACAGAAGGTGAATCGGGTTCTGGAGTGATAATTGAGTGAGCTTTAGATTACCATGTGCAGTTGCTCAGCACTGCCCAAATCCGTTGCAAGTGGCAGGATCTCCAAATGATCTCTTGGTGCTCTGAATGTGGGCTGCTCCCTCACTACAACAACTCTGGAACCGCCCTTTCTTTTTCTTTCACTTTCGCCAAGAGCGTCTCGCTTGTGACTAGTCAGTTAATTACTAATTGGCAGAGATCACTGCCGCTGCGTTGTAGTCGGGGCCCATGGGCGCATCCATATCGAATTGGGCCACCAACTTCTGTACAGCAGCTTCAAACCAGTCAGGAACTTCGGTGTCCCCTTCATTGTCTGACAGTCCGGATTCTGTCATGCACTTTAAAAGCGTGCACAGCCAGATCTGCTCGTCTCTGAAAGAATCTGGAACAACAAATGCAATAATGCTCATGTCTGTGTTCCCGCACAGGCCGTGAAAAATCAATAGGAGACTCGTACAAAGTCTCCATGATCTGTCGGTGCCAGCGCGTCCAGGAACTGCGAACAGTCAGGTCAGAAATGTGACGGTCTTGTGCTCGCCGAACCCATCTTTTCCATCTCGATGGCTTGTCTTGGATGGTCGAGGCAAAGCTAACCCATGATTGTCGAAATTTAAGAAGGAGACCGATTTCTGGACAGTAGCAATCAAACCAAATGACGTCTGCCTCCAATTGTGAGCGCCAAAAGGCACTCTTCTGAAGCAATGCCCATGTGTGAGGCTGTGCAGATCCCTTAAGATATCTAAGCCTTCCAAGCTTGAGCAAAGCCACAGGCTGTGGCAGTTGGACTTCTTCAAGCAGCTTCAGAGTGCTCCATTTGAAGACTTTGTTTCCATGGTGCATAGCCGCAAAACGTCTGTACAACCGGAAAAGCGCCCCTTCCAGTTGTCTTTGTTGTCGGCTATTCTTTGCCCTCCATACAGCAGAATTATACATGACAGTGCTGAGGACAAGACTGAGGAAATACTGCTTCTTCTTTTGAAAGTCCAACCCTCGATTACAGAAAAGCTGGGATCGGTATCTTGTCAGCACATCATGCGCAATAGCAAATTTGCAATTGATGTCCTTTTGGATACCCGCGCCCACCTGTAGCCAGGTCCCTAAGTGCTTATATGCTCCCACCAAATGAAGCTCAAAGGGACCATAGCGTGAGTCCACGCGGAGTAAATTCTCCTGACTCAACAGGTCACGTCTGATGGCAAGTGAACCTGGCCCTCTCAGGTCCATCAGGATTTCGCTCTTGCCTTTCTTCAGGTTCGGAGTGAGACCCGCCGCCAAGAGATTCTCAAAAAGAACAGCTGTAACTCTTTGAATTTTGTGGATCAGGATTTCAGGGGCACCATCCCTAACTGCAAAAGCGAGGTCATCTGCCCAGATCGGTGTCAACGGACCAAGGTCGACATGGAAGTCCCCTTCAGGGTAGATGGTCTTTTCACCATTCCACCAGATCCCCAAGTCATTGAACTCCGTTTGCAGCTGGTCAAGTGCCCTTTGAACAAACTTCGTGAGGGCGAAGCTAAAGACCAAATCAGCGAAAGCATCTCCAGGCCTGCTCCCTTTCCTCGTCTGTGTCACAACGTGATCCCCTCGGATCATGAACCAGGTTGAGGTAAAAAATTCGCTGAAAAGAGCCTTGAGGTGTTGGGGTACCTCCGCTGCCTCCAGAGCATCAGGTTGTCGGAGCAGTTCCTGGAATTCACAGAAAGCTTGCGGTGGTAGTCCCAGACTACCAAAAAGCTCTCGGGCCCCTCGATCATCATCAGCAGGGGTCACCACATGCTGTCGTACCACTTTATAGAAGGCATTGCTGATATCAACAAACAATATAGCATAGGAGTCCCCCGATGCAATTGCCTCCTGCTGATAAAGGTGCAGAGAATGCACCGGTTGTACAATGCCTTGACCAGGCAGACCTCCCACTTGCAGCCCCAGACGATGTGCCGCGAAAGAATCCGCTAGGTCGGATCTGTATATAGAATGTAAGGCCTTAGCGATGACGCTGCTCACAAACAAGGAACGGTAGTTGGTGACAAGGCACGGATTGCCCTTTTTATGTGCTGCCACCAAATATCCTCCCTTGTAGAGGAGCGGTTCCTGGAGTCGAACGACCTCTTTGCAATACAGAGAGTAGAAAAGTTCTGCCATTCGAACTGGCGCTTTCCGCAAGAGATCACCAGGAATGTTGTCAGCGAAATAAGCTTTGCCTAGTGCTGTCTTCCGAAACTGGGATTCCACTTGGTAGATCGACGGGATCTCAGACCATTCTGGCATGACAATGCCTGTCTCCAAGCTATGCTTTCTGCTACTAAAAAGCTGCTCAAAGGTAGTCACAACTCCATCTTCTTGGGCACCAAAGTAACCCCTCCATAGCGCAGCAATGGCCTCCGCAGTCTCGACTGGCTGGCTGAGTTCATCATGCAGTATCGGAAGAGGTTTGATCCCAGTAGGCTTCTTGGGATTCACCACTCCAATTGCCCTAAGCGCATTTGCAAACTCTCTTGCAGACATAGTCGTGATCTGGCCCGCTAGGTTCGCAAGGCTGTCTGCCCTATCCCGCCTTAGGCATTTCCTCAGACTCTTTGTCAAAGCAGCTGAGAACCTTCGAGCTTTCTGAAAGCATGTAACCACATCAAATCCCTGCAACATCAAGGCCTTTGCGTTAAAGCAGGTCTGGCCAGCAAGATGAGACCAAGCATTCCATAACGTGAGTTTGTGTGATCTCAGGAGCAATTCTCTAATGAACTTTCGGCAGAAGATCCGTGTTCTTCTGACGTCCCAAGCTTCTTGCGAGATGTAGCTCTTTTTAATTCCTTGAGGAACCGCTGGAAAAGCATCACACAACCCTTGGAAGATCTGCTGAGATAGCGACATAGCATGCCTATCAACATCACAATGCCACTCGGGAATGCAAACATGTTTCAGAGCAACTTGCATTTGTTCCGGCGTGGCCTTCTGAAGAGACTGTCGACAGAATCCAGATGCCTTTTTCACACTGGCTCGAACCTGGAAAGCCATACAGAAGGTGAGCGCCACCGGCAAATGATCGATTCCGTCTTTAACAATGTCTAAAGTATCAAAGACCCACGTGCCAAGCTTGGCCCGTCTCCAGGCTTGTGGCAAAGCAAAATAGTCACAGCGCGACATTGTGTCGTGCGCACTATGAAACCAGGTCGCATGCTTGCCTGTGTGGATATCAGCAAAGGTCGATGGGAGGAAAAGCTCAAAACGGATGAGCAGCTCACGGAAAAGGCGTCCTCCTAGATTCTCTTTGCTTTCAAGACCCGCATCTCCAATGCATCCCTCGCACTCAGCATCAAAGTGGGCATTGGCATCAGTTCCAATGATGACATGTGGATATCGTGAGCAGAAGCTTGAGAGCAGAGAAGTCACCTCTGCCCAGTAGTCCTCTACCTCCTGACTCGGTCTGCCAGAATGCGGGGCATGTAGGTTCACACACAGAAGGTCAACCATTTGGTATGTAGCTTTGACAAAGAGCATCTGCGAGTTGGCATGTAATACCTGGATCTTAGCGTGGTCAAAGATTCTATGCTGTTTATGAGAGTGGGAACGCGCAAACCATAGCTCGAGGCCACCGACACCATTGACAGCTTCTGCAACCACACGTATATGGGACCCTGACAAAACCATCTGAGAACTTTTAGACCTTGTCTCAAATCCAGCCCATGTGACTCAGCTTGTTGCCTGAGATAGTGCACGAATCCTCCAGTTCCTTTGCCAAGAGTCGCCACATTATAAGTAGCTGCAAAAAAACGCAATTGCTTCCTGCTGTCTTGGGTCTCAGGCACACTCAGAAGCTCAGGGGGCAGCTTCTCTTCAAGGCATCCAGGAACATCGGGCAGATGATCACGGAGCAAGAGAACAGCTCGTCGGTTCCCTCCATTTGAGAGACCAGAGGTGGCATCCCACAACATCCAGAGATACTCCAACGGGAATCTTTTTCCAAAGAGAAAGGGCGAGTAATCCGGACATGTCCAAGAATGAAGGAAAGATTGCTCCCTGAAGGCACGTTTTGCAAAGATGTCCACAATCTCGTTTCCCAGGGTACCATTATGAGCTTTGACATGTTTCCAACAAGTCATGCCATGAGGGCGATGAAAGGCCTCAAAAGCTTTTGCCATAGCTCGCAAAGCCCGATGCTGCCGGTCCCATGGAGCAACCCCATATACTCCAGAACTTGAGAATCCAGCCAGCTGGGAATCAAAATAGAAAGTATACGTCGTCTGCAAATTATGCGAAAAGGCCCACTCAAGAGCTCTCAATAGCAGTCGCTTCCGCAGCTTTTGAATCAGCTCGTTCAGCTCCTGTCCATCCCTCTTCAAGTGGGTCGATATCAACAATTCCCCAATCGTAGCCCAAAATGTAGGATTCTTCTTCCCACAGTCCAATTGCCAAAAAGGCCCAGCCAGCTTTCTTCTCTTCCACAGTACAGGCAAACGATCCATCTGTATAAATGGAAACGTCCTTGACCTGGCCCGGTTCATCTAGAATCCAATCATCCAATTCTGCACGCAGCTCAGACGAAAGTTGTTGATGAACAAAATTCCAGTCAATGTCAACATGCTTTTTCTTTGCCAGAAGCGGAGAAAGCAGGGAACTAAAATCGGGCAGCGGGAAATCATAATCAGCCAACTTCTCACCTTTCTCACCCCCAGATTTTGATGGGAAAGCTGACCGATCCAGAAGAAAGTCATTGAGCGCTATTTCTCTGCGAGGGAAATCGAGGACCAAGATCCTATCTTTGCAGAAAACAACCTCGTCCAGTGTGTTCAAATTCTTTGTGCACCAGGAAACCAATTCCGATGGATTCCCCGGTGGCCGCAGTCCCCTGCAAGGATCACACC